CTTCTAATTTTCGCGAAATATTTCGATTCAACGAAGAATTTTTTTTTGTTGCATTAATTATGATCGCCACTGTACATACAGACAAACCTTTCTAAATACACCCCTTGGGATCATAGTAAAGCGTGCATTTAGAGGGGATGTGCATTTATAGAGGGCAAAATATATAGAGCTCTTATGAGCTGGGACCCAACCATGCTGTGCATTTAGAGAGGGTGCATTTAGGGAGGTTTAACTGTATATGTGTGTGTGTCTTATAACTTGGAACCAAGCCATACCGTACATTTAGAGAGAATTCATATAGCGATGCATATATAGAGGGTGCATTTAGAGAGGTTTTACTCTAATCAACTTTTGATAAAGCAAATCAGCTGAAAACCTAACTACTAGAGTACTATTAGTACTACATTTCTCAGTTATTACATGTAGTTTTAAATTACCAGTATTTTAATATTCTTTGTGATTTATCAGAAGATAAAAAAATTGATAACGATAATGATAATTATCGCTATAATAATAATAGTAATGGTTGCGCGTTAAATATCAATATTACAAAGATCTATAATCGAGGTTAGTACTAGGGATGCTGCCCAAACTAAAATTTCAAGAAAAATGCCGAATCCCAAAACTCTATATACCAAATTTCAAATTTGAATTTTGTAAAAATTTTGATTTGAAATTTGGTTTTGGTAACATGAATTGATACAGCTAGAAAGCTCAAAATGAGAAATTGCTTGAAATTTTACTCTATAATTATATTTTTTCCAAAGGCTTAATTTTGTTATCACCAAAGAGAAAGCAATAAAATGCTGCGAAAAAACCTATTTTTTCGGTGAAAAAAGCGGTTATTGAACATCAAATTAATAATAAAACTCGAACATCAATAGTTACTTACCGTTAATACTTTCTGTCACACCCTAAGAGTTTAGTACTATACGTAGTCTAAAAACAAATATTCATTAACTTCATGAATTACTTAAATAATTAAGAGCAAATATACATACCGTCTTTCAGTATAGATTTCGTGGATATAAGTTTCAACTTCGATAGAAATATAGACAGAAAATATTTTTTCCACGAATTCAGGATTCTCTTTAAGTGGAAAGTATGTTATAGTAGAAGGCAGTGTTACTGTTTCCTCATGTTGCGCTGATAAGTCTAATGTCACTTTGAGAAATTAATCTATGTGTATTTTGTTTGAATTTTATAATAGTTGAATAGTTCATAAGTCCAGCAAAGCTACTACCTTGTAGCACCGTATCTTTGTAAACTACTTCTTTTACATTGGATTATTTAGAGGTTATTTAAATAACAAGATATATTTATTCAAAAATATATCATAAATTGCTATGAATTGCAAGTTTATTGCGCATTTAAGATATCTTCCAACTATTGCTCTTTTGATCATAAAAATATGCATCTTTAATAAGAACATTAATAAAACATTAATTATAGTAAAAAAATAAAATGGATTTTAATTAGCCGAAAAGAATTTACCAAAACTGACGATGTCATTTATGTTATTGTCTACAAAAACAACATCGACCATTGTGTAAAATGTTCCGATTTTCCAAATAGCGCCTGTATTTCCATAAAATAGAGTACCATTCCCAGAAAAAAATATCATTTGTTGGGTCTCCTCCCGAAATAATGTATAATTTCCTTCTTCTCTACCGCGTGTCATTACTGTTGTCAGAATATTTAAATACACAAGATTGAAATTCTAGCCTTGAGCCTTCTGAGAAAATTTCCATATCTATTTAATGTTTAAATATATAAAGTTGAAGTTAATTAGCAGAAGTGAAGATTATCAAATCTAATAGATAATAATATACCTGAAGCCTCTCTGTTAGTTCTTCGAGTCGATAGGTTAACTCAATCAGCTAAATTTGCACCAACAAAAACAGACATAAGTAATCCATAAAGAAATGGTCAAAAAAATTACAGCCACTCTTAAACGAAGAAAAAAGCTAGGTTCTTGAGTCTACAAATATTCAAATTAATTCACACTTTCTTTGATTTATGTAATTTGTAATTAAAAGCAAAATAAGTTTCATGACATTACCAAAGTACGTTGCTGTTGAAATTTATTAAGACAAACCATTTTTGTTATTAAGGAAAACTTCTAGTGACTGCTTAGATTACATATCACTATCGTTATATTATTGGTAAACGTTTGTAGCTATTTTTCTTATATGTCGCCCTATAAAAAAATTATCTCATAATAAGTGGTCTGACTCAACTCTAACCGGGTAATTATTACAGGTAATTGTCCAATAAAATATAGTATAATACAAGCCAAATAACTTACAAAAATAAAATATCTTTTTTGTAGCTTGATTTAAATTTATAAATATATTTAAATAAATTTTGAATTCAAGTTCAAACTCTCTTAATACTTTAATTTAGTTATAATATTAGTAATAATAATATTATTATTATTAATTATATATCTAAATATAAAAATAATAAAAATAGTAATATTAATTATAGATCTAAATATAAAAATCACAAATTCCAAAAATAATCAAAAAATATAAAAATTCTAAAAATAATTATATAATAGTAATATTCT